GTTATAAGTGATGAAGCACTGTTCTCAACAATTTTAGAAATGGCTTCTTATTCTTTGGGTCTTGGAAAAAGCAGTAAGTCTGGACTAAACATTAATATTTTTCTTCAGCATACACAGAGTACATATCTGATGAGTTTTTTTAAGTTGGGTAGTGGTAATTTGCTGAACTGATTTCTTGAAAAATACAACACAGCAAAATAAGTAGTTGTCTAGGTTGTCTTAAATAATTAATTGTCTTAAAAGATGATTATTGTGTATGCTAGAAATTGTTTGAACCCTTATTAAACCATTTCTTAGAAAATTCAATGTTTCAGAGAACTATCTAAGAACAAAAATATTTTCAAATTAGGAAATCTTTCAAAGTTTAATCAGGAAACTGCATTTTGGGGGAAATTATTTAACAAGTGCCTATATAATATTCAAAAATAATCTAACTTAAGTTTGACCATAAGAGTTCCTTAGGGCTTTAAAAAAATCATAAAATGACTATCAGTTAGTCTGACACCTTCTGCATAAAATACACAAATAAGAAAACTAGACCAATACATGATGTATATGCCAAAGCCCTCTAAACAACTTTAGTCTATCCCTAAAATAAAATATGAGTAGCAAATTTTCCTTTTGCAGAAATCAGTGAATATATGTCAGAGTTGATGCATGTGTTTCTTAGTTATTCTTAGTTAATCATAATCTTAACATAATCTTAATCACAGTCTCATTAGTTAGCCTTCCTTCCTTCCTTCCTTCCTTCCTTCCTTCCTTCCTTCCTTCCTTCCTTCCTTCCTTCTCCTTCCTTCCCTCCCTCTCCTTCCATTTTCTAATGCATATATTGGGGATCCTAGCTCAGATAGGAATCCAGTTAACTTCTAACACATAATTACTCAGTGGCTCTATTCCATGTATAAATACTTCATAAAAAATACTAATGAAATAAGAGATTAAGTCACTGCCATTGGTTCCCCATCTCTGCATTGCTGAGAATACCCCTTACAATGCAATTTTAATTGTATGAAACAGAATGTTCCCTTAGATATACAAACTTCCTTATTATAGTGTTATGATAAGCAAAATGCTTAACGACCAAAAACTTTTCAGAAACTAAAAGTACAACTGTCACATAGAGTTCATGTAAGAGGAGCAGAATCATCTCAGTGATTTAAGTTTCTGCTTCCTTTTGTTTGACAGGACTACATAAGCTGACATGGCCAAAATCTGAAAAGAATTTTTAAGAAAGTTGAAATTAAAACTTACACGAAAGTTTTGAGAATAAGGCGGTTACTTTTCAAAGCCTAACAACAAATTTCTTAAGAACAGATTGCACTGTGAGACATACGAGATAGAAAGACCATTTAACTGAGGAACCCCAGTTGACATTAAAAAATAAAAATCATCAGTAATCTATAGGTTGGAGACTTAAAAAATGGGGTGGGAGTGTCTTGGCATCTATCCCCAAGGCACAAAAATATTAATTTGAAAGGATATATGCACACCTATGGTCATTGCAGCACTTAGTATAAGAGCCAAGATATGGAAACAAACCAAATGCCCAGGTATGGATGAAAGGATAAAGAAGTTGTAGTAGATATGCACAATGGAAAACAGTGCAGCTGTTTTCCATTGTGCAAAAGAAAATCATGCAGATTGTTGAAACACAGACAGAACTACAGCATATAATGCTGAGGGAAGTCAGTCAAAAGAAAGGAATAGATACAGAATGACCCCTATCATATATGGGACTTGAAGATACACACCAAGGTAGCAACAAAGGACCAAAAGCAATACAATGGAAGAACTGATCTGCAAAACTAAGTTTGGGGATGGGGTTTTGAGAGAGGGAAGCGTGAGGAGGGTGACTACACTAGTGATGGGGGTGGTACTGGAATTATGTACATGAAAAACCATCACGAACAGTATTGTAAATCACGGTATCTTAATTAAAAAGTTTCAAAAATTGGGAGGGAGGGGGAATGGACTTCCAAGCAGTGCTAGGGGGGTTGGGGGCCATCCCGATAACAATCAGCTCAGCTGTACAAGACAGAGGTTCAATACTCAGGCTGGTCATGTGGTGCTCCTTGGGACCAGCAGTGCTTAGTGCCCAGCACTGACCAACACTTGGTGCCTGTGGGACCATCCATGTTCTGAGGAGCAAGCACAGGTCCTCCACATGTGCTTAGAGCAATCTAACTGGCCCAGGCTTAAAGACTCTATAAAGAAAAAGCAAGATGGAAGCTATCAGCTGGGACCTGTATCTTTTCCCTTTATTATGACCTGTTACAGTACTTTCAGTCATAGGCTGGAGCAGTAGCATTGGGGTTAAGGTGTTGCCTTGCATGTGGCTGGCCCTGGTTCAAACCCCTGCACCACATGATCTCTGGATGTGGCCCAAATCCCTCACCAAACTCCCCAAATAGAGATTCTGTCAAGCATGAAAAATCTGTTGAGTAAAACCATGTGATTTTTAACAGTGGAGATTTGAGATAAGATTTAGCCTTTAGGCACTTTTTAAGGTAAGGGAAAGTTTAAGATACAATATCAATACCAGGATAGACAATAAGAAGTGATGTCACTTTGAGATCTTCATTTATTTTGACCTTGATTTATTTGAAGTAGAAGCACAGTTTTTAAGGAAAAAAAGTCTCTTAGAGGCTGTCTAAAAACGAAAGTCATTTAAACTAAAAAATAGAGAGAAAATACCATAGGAATATTATTTAGTGATTTATAACTGAACATTATAACCAAAAAACCTTGAATAAAATGTAATATTTTAGTACCTGCTATAGATCTAAATACACTTATGTTCACTATACGCAAAGTGCTATTCTGATATTGAGCAGTGATGAATTTAAATGGTAAACTGGAAAATCAAGCATAAAGACACTAAAAGTCAAGAAAAGCACAAAAACCAAATGGACAAAATAAGATGAAGGATAACTTGATGCATTATAAAATTAATTATCAAATTAGTGTCTAGACCAGAGGTTATTGCAGTGGCTATGCTACTGGAATTATATGAAGAAGTTTTAAGAAATTATCTGCTCGTGCTTGTCCATCTCCTGGGCAGGGTGTGGGAACTTAGGGAGTAGACTAGGAAAGGGAAGATCATTGGGAGGTGACTGGATCTGGCATTTGTAAAGCTCCAGGTGATCCTGATGGAAACAATTTAGCACGACTAAGCTGAGAAGTACTTAAGAATTGCTGCTTCAGAAAGGGTGATGATATTTGGCAAACATTTGAACTGGCAAGTAGGCAAAATGGGCTTTAAATTGTATAAGAATTTCTATAGAAACTCAAATTCAATGTTTTTCCATTTGCACCTATGTAAGTTCTAGGACATTGAGATTGAGAAATATGAGTGTAGATCATGAGAACAAGAATGTGGTGCTGAAAGGCTTCAATGAGGGGACTGGCAGCTTATATTATTTCTGTTGTTGCAGTTCCTTGCTTGTTTTTTTTTTACCCAGGGACCTTGAGCATGAGTGATATAAACTCTCCCAATAAGCCACAGATAGTCCCAGCCTCAGCTTTATTGAGTTTTAAAAAAACATCATTCTAGTTAAATGCAAAAGACTTTTTCCAGGGGGGAAAAGAAAAACTGCATATACTCAAAAGAGTCCAGAAAACTAAACTTGAAGCATGGTCCACTGAAAAGTTGTTTAAAAAAGAGGATTGTTGCCTGCCCACCAAGGCCGAAAGTTGCCCACCCACGAGCGGCTCTCCAGCACGACCATGGCCCCAGAGGCACACGGACCTAATTCAGAGCACAACAGCTTTCAGCAGAAATGTGAATGGACTATGCATTGAACTATGGTGCTGTGCCCCCACCTCTGGGAGGGAAAGGGTGTCAGGGTGTCTGTCTCTTCTGCCTCCATCCCTCTGCCCCCCCACCCACCTCCGGCAGCATGGTGGCCACCACCTGAGAGCTTATAGGACAGCCAGGTATGAGCTGACAGTGACGGGGCAACTGTGGTCTCATGGGATGGGGGACGGAACCTGCACGTCCTTCTTCTCCGACCAAGGCCGAGGGTTGCCCCCCACGAGCAGCTCTCTGGCATGGCCATTGCCCCAGAGGCACATAAAGCAATCTCATAACTATGTGGCTTTTGGCAGAAATCCCTCCAGACTTAATTAGTAAAATATTAGAAATCCAAAATGGCGTGGCTGCTATCACGCCGGCGCGACATCATATGGTCTTCATAACCAGCAATAGAAAACAAATTATTTCAGAATGCCTTTTCAGCAGGTCTGATTATTGGGGAAAAATTCCAAATAATAATGGTGCATCTTTTGTTGAAATAATGAATGTAATCAAAGTAGAGAGAGAGAGAGTTAAGTGGAAAAAAAAAAGAGGATTGTTGCAAGGAAAATGCTGAACTGTAGAGAGGATAAGATTCTCTGTTTGGGTTCCCTGTATTTTCATTATGAAAAAATATGAATACCAAGTCTAGGATTTTATAAATGGCAATTTAATAAACCTATGTTACTTTTGTTTATTCAAACTACACCACAAAGGGATTAGCATCTTATTATTTTCAATATCCACACCAGACATCTAGAATACAATCTTGGCTAGGAAAAAATTCTTTTAAAATATTTATTCTGTGGCTGGAGTGATAGCACAGCAGGTAGGGCGTTTGCCTTGCACGAGGCCAACCCGGGTTTGATTCCAGCATCCCATATGGTCCCCTGAGCACTGTCAGGAGTAACTCCTGAGTGCAGAGCCAGGAGTAGCCCCTGTGCATCGCTGGGTGTTACCCAAAAAGCAAAAAAAATAAAATAAAATAAAATATTTATTCTTTAAAGAGGGTTAGAGGTTCTTTAGTAGATCTTATTTGATCCATAGTAGAGAAATGTCAAGGCTATTATTGCCTAGTGTTGATGACAGTATTTGTACACAAGAAGCCCTTGATTTGCACAGCATATGTATAGAATGCCAGGAAGGAAAAGTGAATTTCCAAGAAAATGATCAATGTTATTGAAGATTTAATCAACATTATGATTACCTGAGTGAGTGATTCCGTGTGAGATCAGGTTGACGCTCTTGTAGAATTTCAAATATATTGGGTTGGCGCAGAAATGCAACGATCTTGTCATTGTAAGCTAAAAAAAAAAGGACAATTTTTTAAAGCCTCACTTGGTTTCCAATACAAAAACATGCATTAAAATTTGTTTTTATGATTAATATTCCCTGTATTATAGTTTGTTACTTAAATAACCAGTTTATTTCCTGTTACATGAATATTGGACTTAAACTTATTGACTGTGACTTAAGAATTTGTTAAATTCATTTGTTATACTATGTTATTAGTAATTGCTTATTTACATTTCCAAAAAAATATCTACATATTGTTTGAGGCTACTGCCTACCTAAGTCAACTTCAAAAATAATTGTTAGAAATAGAAAATCATCTTCTGATCAAATATCAGACAAGTAAAGAGGTAAGAGACAGAACAAGGGTCAACAAAATCTATGTTCCCAGTAGCTACTACAAAAATACACAGGAGAAATGAAGTAATTTGTGGGAATAATGCCATACAGTCACATATAATTCTTTACCAAACCAATTATACCAACAATTAAATATGATCAGCATTATCGGATCAGTACCTGGTCTGTTAAAAGAAAACTCTGTATATTAGTTAAGGTGGCTAATGTCCTCAGAAATTAAAAAAGTTAATTTTACAAGAGCTCTGTTAAACATCTCTTTGGTAAAGAAAACTAATTTGTTTAAAATGAGTTTTCTTAATTAAATTAAGTAAAAATCAGAACTAAGATACAATTAAATTACAGAACTGAGCACCCAAATTCTCAGATATTAAAGGTCCTAGTGGAGAGAGTATGGTGTGTGTGGGGGGGGTAGGTACAACCCAGGTTTTATCCACACTATACAGTGTACCACACTATACAGTGTACCTTTCAAGCATCTTCAGGTGTAGACCAGGAGACCACAAAGCATTGTGCCCTGAAGGTCCACAAACACTGAAGGGGTGGCTGTGCAGTCCCTAACATCACAGAGATGTGAAGCATTGGATAGCAGTCCAGATTAGCTGGCTATCACCAGGAGTGACCCTTAGAACTTCTGAGTACTGCTTGGGAGGTCTCTCCTCAAATATTTCAACTCAGTCAGGACACTATTGTGTTTATAATATCCTAATGTAAATTAAGATTGTAAAACATGTTTTAATTTATATAATATGATTAAACAAAATTAATATAATTCTCTTGGCATTTGAAAATAGCTTCAATGAGTTTTGACATCCTAGTCTTAATAACCATTGGAGGGAGTTTAGAGATAAAAGGTTTTTTTTAAGTATCAATTTTATAGTACTTTGAAATTTGATGTTCAGTATTCAGTATTACATTAGTAATATCATTAGAACATCCTGACCCGATATTTCTTCTTACCCAGTGATTATTATCAAAGTTCTTTATGGGTGTGGGCATTATTTTTTTCTTAAAAAGTCTAATATTTTAGGACCAGAGAGATGATATAAGGCATTTGCATTGTACCCAGCAAATCCTGGTTCAATCCTCCATACAGCAAATGGTTGCCTGTGCCCCTCCAGGAGTCACCCTTGAGCACAGAGACAGAAAAAAGTCTTGGGGACACCTGTGTGTGGTGCAAACACCACCCTGTACCACCACTTAAGAAAAAAAACTCATAAAATTTAAAAGTAAAAATAGACAAGTAGTTTCTCAAAACTGAAGATGGTATAGGGAGATCACATGGCCCATCTGACTATTCCTAAAGGGGCTGAAATTCCAGCTTTGAAAACCACTCTACTTAACCTCATCATGTTAACGATTCACATCTTTCTCTAGAACTCTTTGCTACTTTCCTTTATTACCGCTTCATAATTCTGATGACTCGTTGATTTTCATTGGCTATAAATTGCAAAAATGTATTTTGAAGAATTTGTCATTGGTGTTTGCTTATTTTGTGTGCCTACTTCTGGCCTACAAATCACTGAAACCGACTTAAATTAGGAATATATGCTAGGTACACGCTTGTCCGAATCGTTAATTTGTAATAATCACATAAGATGGTACTTTATATATATATATATATCAACCTAATTATAAAAGCTCTACTTATAAAAAGAAAAGTGGCATTAAAAAGTCATCCTATGGGTTTGTGCAAGATAGCACTACTTTGAGACTCAATTTCTTAGGAAAAACATGTCTCAGTCTGGGGCAAAAGAAATAGGTTGTCGATAGGGAAACATCACTATAAAATGCATAATACACATGGGTTGGAAAAGCAAAGCTAAAGATTTCTGGAAATGGTGACATACCCACTGGTACCATGTCCTGATACTGTGGCCTGCTGACTGTATTGAATGTACTTGATGGCCTGGGAAGAACTGGTGGTCCTGCATGCCGAGAATCTTCTCCTACCTGCAAACATAAGCAGCATTTATATTCTGCACCAAGATCTAGAACACAAAATGCTTTACCTCCATACCTTGAGTAAGCTTGTTCAAACCGAGCATTGTTAAGTATCAATCAGAATGGATACCCACTGAGAAACTGAAGCAGGATTCTCCAAGCTAGGTCTCAGTTGGAGCAACCCTAACTTTGAGAGGAGCTGGAGCAGTGATCATCTGTCAAGTAGCACAAGAATAAGTCCATCTGGGGACACTTGTTGGGTCTATAGAAGCTAAACAGCAGACTTTTTTCAGCAGGAATAAATTCAACCTCAACAGAACACACAAACATGCAACAATACAATCAGAGAGAAAGTCTTGCTTGGCAGCACAAAACGTATTGAGCAGTGCCAGGTATTCCTCCTTCAGACCAAGGTTGCTCAGGGAATTCCTTGTCTCAGCAGAGAGGTGGAACAGCAGCAATCTTCATGTGGGTTTTTGAGTTGGTGTATTATCTCCTTAGAAGCAATTTTACATCCCTATTAGAGCACCAGTACAACAGCTCTTTCTGGTTTGAACCTCCCACACCAGGAGTTAATTGCAACAGGTGTGGAGGAGCTAAATAGGGTTGCCCTAATCTGAATTATTTATTGTACTTATTATAGATTTAGAAATGCATGCATACAAGTAGAGAAGGAAAAAAAAGTTCATTAATATTCCTACGAGCAAGTTTTAACATTGCTTTAGTATTTTCCCTGTATATTGCAAGTCTTCTTAGGACAATAGTAGAACATTAATGCACGGAAACTAAATTTTTTTTTAAAAAAAAGGCAAAGTAACGTACTGAATAAATAAACTGGAAGTTTTAAAATAGAACTTCTACTCCCTCTTCCAACCAAATCTTCACAATCATTTTGTCACATTGCATCAGTTAGGTGTTTGGTGTGGGCTTTTCTCAAGGCCCTGGCACTGAAAATAGCGTCCCCACCCTCCCTCCACTGCTTGCTTATCCTTCAAGAATGCTCTCACTCATTCTTCCAAGCATAGTTCAAACAGCTCCTCCTTGATGAAGTCTTCCCTTCCCTTAAGCTGACAACAAATGTGGCTTTCTCTGAGCTCCATAGCACTTGCTGTCTATTTCTAAATTAGCTGTCATTATTAACAGTGCGTTAATACATTTTTCAGTCCATTCTTATTCATTTTCATGCAGGCTAGTTTAAGACAGTCTCTTCTTAAAAAGAACACAGCGGGGGGGGGGGGGAAAGATGTTATTATTTGTATTCCCACACTAACCACCATGTGTCTGCACTGCAGGTGTTGGGTAAGTGTTAATTTGTTGTCTGGAAGAGATACCAAAATTCCAATTACCTGAAAAATTGGTTAAATGAGTATAAGAGCATGGCTAGAAAGCCTCTTGCATGTAACTAGATGTTTTTCACCCTTTCTTTTTTTGAGATACTTCTTTTTCGTTACTGGCATTGAGGAATGAACTCAGCCACTTTGACGGAAATTCTGCCATTAACAACACACTGGTTAGCAGGCGAAAAATTAGTCATTTCAGTAAAGCAACATGAAGTATGTTGCTATCAGCAGTATGCCTATCAGCAGTATGCCACATGCCATCACTTCCCAGAAGAGCAATGTTTTTCTCCTGGATTCAACACCACACTTCTTCAAATCAGATGATCAGACAGGGATGGGCAAACCCCAGTAAGTAGTTAACACCACAGTACTGGTATGTTCAGACTGCTACGGCAGGAAGCACACTTCCCTCCAAGGCTTAGCTATGCTGGGCAGGGAGCCTCAGGCAAGGGCTAGTCTCCGCATTGCAGCTCTATTTTCACCAATATAAATTCTTCCTTGACATTTTACTATGTACCTTGAGATCCATTTCCCATAGGCTATACTGGACCATGAAAATGATTCCAGTTCTGAGGGAGAAAAGTTAAAAGAAAATCTAAGTCTAGCTATCAATCTCGTGCCTGTAGTACTAACCAGACAAAACAGCCAGCTTCAAATTGTGACGTGAAGATAAGGAACGCGGTTAGAGTGCACAGACACGCGATAAACTCAGGCAGGGCCCTAACTGGCTGCGTAACACGTACTAGGTCCAAAGGTGAGAGGACAGGTTTGCCTCTAAGATGAATGCTCTCAGTGTCATTTTATCCACTGGTAATGGTTTTATATGACAAGGACGTAAAGATTTATTACCTGCTCATAAAATAAAAATATTTTGGTGCATACTTCATCCTGCCATGGATTTATATATCACTTTATATGAGCTTCTCCTGTATACTCTCCTATGGCTGCATTTACTGCCAGAAGAGCACGTGGTACACTTAGAACAAGTATGTAAATCATGAGAGGAAATTCCAAGAGTGTAATTTTGATGAACTGCATACAGCTATTTATTGAATTCATCATTTTCATGACAGAGTCTGCAGAAATATTTGAACGACAATATAACATGGAAAATATGATATGTATATAGGAGTCCATAGGTGTGGGAAAGGTATACAGGAAAAGGATCTGAATTCTATTTGTCTAAGGGAATTTTTTTAAAAGAAACCTATCAAGACATGATATATATTCAAAGCACAAGCCCACACAAAGGAGGAAAACTTGACATTTCTTCTATTGATTTAAGCTACTAAAAAAATAAAACTATAACAGTTTTTTTTTTCTTTTTGAGAGCCCTCATGTGGATAACATGGGTCACTACAAAATAATAAAGAAGACAGAGCACCTTAGAGCTTTTAGTAATTATCAATTCATTTTCATTTCTCTGGGCATGAGAGGACCTAAATCAATGCTGAATCTTTTACTAACCAAAAATGAAATTAGTGAGGGTTTCATAGCACCAAAGTCTCAGCCAAAGATTTTAACCCAAAGATTTTAACCTAGCAACACTTGTTTAATAAACTATATTTAATCTCACTTTTAGTTCACTAAAAGTTCAATTCAAACCTTCCTACAAAGCTGCTTTTGGATGTGCGAAAGGACCCACCATGAATCTTCCCTGAAAAGCTCCATAACACAACGAATTGTCTTTCATCATTTTCTAAATATAAACAAGCTCTAATTTCTTCAGTTGTCCCGCCATGCCTGATTTTTAAAATGTGTAATTTAGGTTCCAGAGAAGCCTATTAACCCTCCAATTCTTTCCAGCCTCCCCATGACCCTATTTACATCAAAACAAACAAAAACAAAAAAATGAAACAAAACAATACAATTCCACAGACTCCTACATCCTGTAGTGTCTGTCAATGGTCATTCTCCGGGGCATGAGACTCACCTCGCCTGCACTGTGACTGCGTTGCCTTGTCAGGTGTTGTCGGTGAACCAGGGCGCTGGTGGGTCGACTGCTCTGAAGTGGGAGCCGAGGATCAATGAAAGTGGTGGTGCGGGAGTTGTGATCAACAAAAAATGCCTAGGAAACAATCCATTCAATTACTGGTCAAAACGGGCCGGGTTCATGTCATAACTGATTGTCACTTTACACAGTTTGGAGAAGACATGTTTTTGGGTACAAAAGGTCTGACCTCTGTTTCCTCGTATTTTTGGGTTTAAATACTTAATAAATTTCCGAACAGAGAAAATTAGAGAAAGCCATGGTTAGATTAGATCCAGAAGGAAGGGAGAAGAAAGGAACATTATCCCAGGTGTAGGAAACACTCAAAAAGACAGTCATCAAGATGTACTCTTAAAAAGAAGCCCCATTAAACTACAGCGCTGTGCCTCCCCAGGAGGGAAAGAGTGTTGCTCCCTTCCGCCTTTATCCCCCCCCCCCCCCCCCCCCCCCCCCCCCGGCAGCAAGGTGGCTGCCTCCACAGAGCTTATTGGAAAGCCAGGTATGAGCCGGCAGTGACGGGGCAACTGCAGTCTCATGGGAAGGGGGGTGGTACCGGCTCGTCCTTCACACCCTACCAAGGTCACGAGTTGCCCCCCATAAGTGGCTCTCTAGCATGGCCATGGCTCCAGAGGTAAAAGGACTTAATTCAGAGCCAGGCAGCTTGAGGCAGAAAAGTGAATGGACCATGTGTTAAACTATGGAGCTATGCCTCCCTGGGAGGAAAAGGGTGTTGCTCCTTTCCACCTTTTCTCCCCCCGGGCAGCAAGGTGGCCACCACCTCGAGGGTATATGAAAGCCAGGTATGAGCAGGTGGTGACGGGGCAACTTCAGTGTCATGGGAAGAGGGGTGGTACTGGCTCGTCCTTCACGCCCTACCAAGGTCCTGAGTTGCCCCCTATGAGCGGCTCTCCTGCACAGCCATAACACCAGCCGCATAGAAACCAATCTCTAAATTATCTGGCTCTTTGCAGAAATCCAAAATTGTGAGGCCGCAATTCTCTTAACTAGCTATAGAAAACAAAGTATTTCACAATGCCTTCTTAGCAATTCTGATTGTTGGGGGGGAGGAGGAATTCTAAACAATAATCGTGCATCTTTTGTCGAAATGACGAATGTAATCAATGTAGAGAAGAGTTAAGTAGAAATCTTCTGCCTCACAGGCATTGGGTGGGGTGGGAGGCAGGGTACATTGGGGTTAATAAATAAAACTATGAAAAAAAAAGTAAGGTGGAGTTCATGCCCAATTCAATCAGCTAATCAGTGGCTATTCGAATAGATAGCAGTACTCCTACATGAAAAAAAGAACCCCCAAGTTATTTATTTATTTACTTATTTATTTATTGGGCCATACTCATCTGTGCTCAGGGCTTACTCCTGGCTCTGGGTTCAGGGATCACTCTTGGTAGTGCTCAGGGGATGTGGGGTGATAGGTGGTGCTAGGGATTAAGCAAGGGCTGGCCCTGAGCAAGACAAGCACCTTACCTATAGTACTATCTTTGTAGCCCCAGAAAAAAAAAAAAGCCCTATGGTGCTTAATTGGGCTTCTTCTCACTAAGGCTCTTGAAGCTCTTGCTGCTAACACATGATTTTCTTTTTAACTCTTTTTATCACCTGAAACTTCAAACCCCACTGACTTCCCTCTTTCCTTCTTCAACATCTGAGCCCTCAAGTGCCCTTATTTTGTCATTGCAGAGTCTCCTCTCTTTGTATTCTCCCATCCCTTTATCTCAGGGCTTTCTCTTGTGCAGATTAACAGTTTGTCAGTTCTGCACATCTCTATAATCTTAGTTTGTCTGACTTTCAGGATATTCTTACTAAAGACTTTGATCACACCAATGGGCTAATCCAAGGCCTCTATGGGCTATCCAATATCCATTCGAAAAATTTCTTTGATCTGTTCTCCAAGGCTTTTAAACTCCCTCCTACTTTATTTTTCCAAGTTTAGTCATCTATTACATAGCCACACCAAATTCTGTTATACATGATGACTTTGAATTATATACTTAGATTCTCTGAGTTTTCTTATAATTTCTTCCATACCCATAATAAATGTATCCCCCATAATGTGACCAGAAAGGCAGAAATGAAGATCACCACATTTACTGCAAAATCCGTGGTGTAATGAAATCATGAATGAGCATAAACCATTATTGCCTCATTGAGAACAGCAACTTAAAACAACCTTTTTTTTGTTTGTTAATGCAAATGATCTATAAAATTGCTATTTATCTTCGTCATGAGGAACCCAAATGGTAAAATTTTCAAAGTAAAATTCACTCAAGGTAATAATGAAGCCCACTATTTCAAGCACGATTTGAAAATATGTTTTCAAATGATCAGATACAGTTAATTAGGCCATCAAAGATAAAAGGGAATATTAGGAGATCCAGGAGACTCAACACCTGTAAATCATAAATTAAACTAAATAACTAAATAACTTACATAACTAAAGTTAAATAGCCTTGAAAGGTAACTGATTTCTCAAACAGTTAGAGGTCACTTAACAAAGAATCCAAAAGACTAGGAGTGACTACATCTAGACAAGTGCCAAGGGGCAGAAAATCAACTTCCTATTATGAGACAAAGTACTTCTGTACACAACCAGGAAATAGAGAAAATAATTTATAGATAACAAGTGGAAAAATATAGACTACAACAAAATAGCATTCAGTAGTAGATACACTAAAAAAACAAGCATAGAACTGGATGAAATGAAAATTCTAGGAAATCCTTTCCCTCAAAATCTACTTTCCAAAACATAAAGACTGCATTAAATGGTAGGAACTATGTCATGAGTCTCACATCCCTTGGTAATGATTTCTTTTCCCTAGCCAATCAACTGGAAGAGATTTCTCCTTAAACCTGGTAAAAATACACCAAATGACAAACCTCACACTGGCTGTATTGACAGACTTTGGTACCAATGCCACATGGGCCTCCAATTTGGGCCTGGAACATAGGTAAAGGTAAAGGTAAAGGCCCTCCCGTTGATCGTCGATTTGCTCGAGCGGGCCCAGTAACGTCTCCATTGGAGACTTTGTTGTTACTGTGTCTGGCATATCCAATACTCTCGGTAGCTTGCCGGGCTCTCCGAGAGGGGCGGAGGAATCGAACTCGGGTCGGCCATGTTGGCCGCTTGTAAGGCGAACGCCCTACCCGCTGTGCTATCGCTCCAGCCCTCATTATTTCTGCCACTGTTAAAAGTCATGTCAAACAGTGATTCAAATATTAGAAATGAACATTTTAAGATGATATTATAATCAAGCCCACATCCTCTTTCTGTAAATGAATGCTATTTCGTTACTAAATAATATATCCCACATAGTTAAAGCAAATGTATAAAGGATACTAAAACAAAATGTCTCTGGACTCTAGCTAGTTTCTTAAGAATGTTTGGAAGGGATGGGTGGCCACTTAGAGATAACAATGATGCACTTCTAATTATAAGTACGAATGGGTGTGTATATCTGGGTCAGTCATGATTTACATGCAGTGTCACAGTATAATAGGCTGTCTAAAATCCATTCTCAAAAGAATTATCCTATAAATGCCTTGAGGAAGGAGTCTTCTTTTTCACTCGTCTCCCCTATGAGGAATAGGGTGCAAAGTAAAGAAGAAATTGTCCCAAATTCTAATATGTGCACTTCTAACCCAGATACAGATAATCTGAAATGAAATGGTCATGAATTAAAAATCACAATCTTTCACATAAGCATAGAACTACGTAAAGACTGGGAAAATATTTGAGGTACTGGTAGAAGTAATGATTTGTTTTAAGTCTGAGGTAGAAGGGATAGAAGAATAAAAGCTATCAAATTGAAAGCAGTATGAAAGATTTTTTATTTACATAGATATCTGTGGAGCTAGAGGTCACATTCAGGGCTTCACACAAGGGCTTTGCCATTGACCTAACTTCCTGGCCCTCAGAGAGAATTTTGAAAATCTCTGTGTAAGACATGAATAGTCTACCAAGTTAAAACCACTTGGAAAATGGAGGTAATAGAGTGGTCTAGTAATTGGGATCTAGAAAAAGACAAGGCTGGTTCTGAGCTCTGGCTCTACTATTTACTAGCAATGTAACTAGCAAACTCCTTCACTTTTTAAAACTATTTTTCACAAAATGGGGGTAACTGTATCAAAGGAAGGTTTAATGAGGTAGTTCACTGAAATTTTTGAATACAGTGCCTATGACCCTTTAGATGTGAGTTTCCATTATTATTACTAATAACAACAGTTTTGACTTCTAAGATTTTCCTAAGGCTCACACTGTTCTTTTTCTACAGTCCATAACAAAGACTCCAAAATGTGAGAATCAATGAAATTACACTTACAGGGAAAGTTCTGACCAATGAGATAGCATAGAGTACTCCATAAATATTGCAAAGGCTCTTATAAGGAGATTATCCCAAGGTCAGACTAACATTCTATCCTTTACCCTTTCTGGCCCCTGAAATACGGACAGAATAACTGGAGCCCCAGCAGTCATATGGAACACTGAAGATGAAGGATCGCAGAGCCGAAGGAAAGGCTGATAGCCAGGAGTCTCACAACACAAGAGCCACCTCAGGAGCCTTACCTTACCTACCTCTGAACTTACTTACGATCCTGTATATTAAAGGCATGGATCACTGTCACAACATACCCACCCCAGTCCTAGCTGATATACTGTAGTTTCAGCTCTGCAGGAAAAACATATGCTCTCTAACACTACATGCATAAGAGGCACACATGCCAGCAGCCATTCTCACAGGGATGAGCCTTCATCATCTGAAACACAACAGTTCATTTCTGCTCACCATACATACAGTGGGGTAGCAGTTTGTAACTTAAGTAAAAAGTGCTTGGGAACTTAGAAAGCTGGGCTCAAAACCATCTTTCAGAATCTTCAATCCAACCAACAGTGGCTCTTTCCCACTCTCTCTTCCTTTCATTTCCCCCACTTTCCTATTCTGCTTTCTGCTGCCTTTTTTTGTTTGTTTTGTTTTCTTTGTTCTTCTTACTCCCCTCAAACCTCATGTAGTACTTGACTTATAAAAGCACTTAAGTATTTATTGAACTAGGCTGGCAACAACAGCCAC